CAAGTCTGACGGCTTTCAGCATCTTTGGGCCCCAGGGAGGGAGACCCTGGAGTTCTGGGAGCCATCCCTACCTTGGGGGAAGATGCTCTGCCTTCTGAGCCCCGCTCTGCCACTGCCTTGCTGGGCTCTACATGCCTAAGTCTGACTGCTCATTGGGCTTATCAACTGACGTCCGTCCTATCTGGGTACTGTCCCAACCAGCTACCCGGTTGCTCAAGTCCTGGCAGCTGTCCTTGATTCCTCCCTCCCCTGCCATCCAAAAGGTCCTGTATGTTGGACCACCATAATACCCCTTGAATCTACGCCCTAACCTAAGCCTTAATTTGAAAATTAAATAGACTTTATTTTTCATATAGTTTTAGGTTTACAGACCTGAGCAGGTAGAGTTCCCATGTACTCCCTCTACCCCGCTCCCCACTGTTTCCCCTATTATTAACATTTTACATCAAGTATTGCATTTGTTATAATCGGTGAGCTAATATTGATACATTATTGCTAACTATAGTCCAGGGTTTACGTTTCCCTTTTGTGTTGTACATTCTATGGGTTCTGACAAATGCATAACATTTCCTGCAGAATATAAACCCTCCGTTTTTCGTGGCTTCACTATAACCCTCAAATTTGCTCCTGTGCCCTTCCCTCTGGCTGCCGCGCCACCACCTGCTGCTCCTAGTTCCTGAGCGGGCTGTCTGGGCTGCCCACCTCCCAGGGAAAGCTCAGCACTCCTGAGCTGTCATTGTATTTTATGCCGCTGCTGCTGCTGCTGCCGCTGCTGCAGATGGCACGCTGCTCCCACGCCAGGCTGAAAGCCCGGCCACCGGAGCCTTGAGCTCGGTTCTCTTTGGTTGGCGCCTGACACGTGACCAACAGGCGGCGGAGGAAGCTGAGACTAAAGGCTGGGGCGGGGAGCCGGGGAAGTGCGCCTGCGCACGTCCGCTTAGTCCCCTGCTCCGGCGAGGCTGTGTTCTGATTGTCTCAAGCCGCGATTCCGCCGTGGTCGGAGGCGGAGCCTCGCCCCGCCCCGCCCTCCGCGCCAGACGTCAGTCTCTTCCGGTTTGTAAGCCGCTGCCGGCTTGGTTCCCAGGCGGCGGGATTGGTCTGGCGGCGGCGGCCGGCGGCGGC